AATCAATAAGATATTCATATTACTTAATAAAAATATTTATGTTGTTTTATTTTCCTTAATTATCAAATCTTGAAAATGTAATATGTTTATTATCTAGAATTTTAATATTAAATTTGCACATTTTACTTATACTATTTTATATATATCTGTACATATGCACATGATGATTACTAGTAATGGATATTTTCACACTATTTGATAATTCCATATAACGTGACAGTTTTCCATGAACCAAAAGAAAATTTACATTAAATGATGTAAAAATGGTTTCAACAATCCAATCTTAAATACTACCTCCTTTTTTTTAATAAGTGTCTTTTTGGCTTTATCAACAATTAACCAAATAAATAACGTATAAATGACGTTTTGAATCTTTTGTACATATTTTTCCATTATTACCCTCATCTAGCTAATAAATACACTATGTCTTTTCATATTCACTCTTTATCTTCTCTCAAAACGTCCATTTCTATCCTCATGAATGAGGGTTATTATTGACATAAAAAATATTCTTAATTACTGTGCAACTTCTTAAAACGACACTTATTAAAAAAAAGGAGGGAGTAATATTTATGTACAGTTGAAAGCATACACATACCCCACACATACCCTTTTTAGCAATTCGAATGAAAATGAACGCATGACATGAATAACTCAATTTTTTTCCCTCTACAAGATCTTGTCAACAAAGTACAAAATTAGTAGAATATCAAATCTTGAATTCAACATCAAGAGAAAAAAGAAAAGAGAATAATGCAGATAAGGAAGAGTGTCCATAGTAAAATTATATGAGAGGACAAGTCTCACAATCTAAAAACCAAATGCAGCTTAAATATAGTAGTTTGGCAGTCTCTCCACGACTTTTCTACAGATCCTGCACGCTCAAACCTGCAATTAATTGAAACATACTGAGCTAAATTGTACCGAAATTTCTTAAAAAGCACCTTTTGAAATAAAGGATAATTACAAGAGTCTGGCTTAATTCCAAAATATACAAACAGAGAATAAAAAAGTTAGTCCACATAAACTATAATCGTAATTTCAAATTTACAGTTATGTTTACCGAATACAAGCCCATTTAAGTTGTATATCGTTGTACACAATATTAATCAAGGATGCTTTCTCACTCTTGAAAAAAAACACGGTTTTCTTTCTGCAACTGGGCTAAACACGAGATTCAGTTCTACTAAATAACCCAAAAAAAATTAAAAGTACCTATGAACTCATCAATGATTCAACAGCCTGTAACAAACGGTCGAAGCACAAGCAATTAATAGCATAAAAGAACAAAATACGTGACATGAACTAACGTAGAGTGAGGGGCACACCTGGCGGGAGAGACTGCTTCAACTTGTCAGCCTTCTCAGAGTCAAACACACAGAGTGTGTAGAGGTACTTTGAGGAAATCTACAGATTGATTCAGAGTGCGAATTTACTATTCCAAATATTCCCTCGGTTTGTCTGTAAATACTGAAATGTAAGGAGTGTTATTGTATCCTTATGTTTTTTGTTAAAAATATATATACGGGGGAAAATACTGTATCCATGGTTAACTACTTAAGTTTCAGTGGAGTCCAACAGAACCATTTGTATTCACCTGATGCTCAGTCGATGGAAGTATTGTGATTTGGGATGCATGTATTAGTTTATGACTTGCTATTTGGCCTTATTGATGGGATGGATGGTTGTAGCATAATCTTTTTTATTGTCTTATTGGAGCTCGAAAAGACAAAACAATACACATAGTTAGTTCACAGAAACCTTCAGTCGATCAAATAAAACTTCAATAAAACAATAATATCATTTTTTTCATACCTTTTTCACCTGCAATTCTTTCAGCTGATAATATTGTTTATGTAATGTTCTATGTAATCCTCCATACACACATGCAGAAAAAATTATATTTAAATTCCAAATAATATAATTACATTCATGAAATGAAAATTTGTGATTCTATATCTTACGTGTATGGAAATCATGATAATTTACCTTTTCAGATTAGATGATCACGACAATATAGTGATTTTTGTTAAATAGTCACTAATATATTCGAATATAATTCAAACAGATGTCATTTTTCATCTTACAATAACCACCAGCTAACAATGACGTTTACTTTAAACATATATTCAGTATCTATTTAACAACATAAACAAATTAAAATCAACAGATACAAAGGTATCATCTATTTTAAATTAAACAATATTAAAAACATTACTGTGATCAGTTTGAGTTCCACACTTGATTAAGTGTTCGACCAGTTAGTATTTTGCTTCCAATCTTTTTGACTAATTTTTTCTCTTCAAAAATGTGTGAAAATTGGATAAAATCACGTGGAATTTTTATTCTTTAGAAACAAAATTGAGATTTTGGACGGGATATACATTCAAAATCATATCCACATATTTTAGGTAACAAAATCGCTTAATCTTAGATATTTATAGTCAAACATATCCAATTATTTAGAAAAAATAATTTAAATCAATTTCAAGATCGTGTGCAACTTTCAAAATTTGAATGCATCAATTTTTTTTATTCTTATGTTTTTTCTTAACCATGTTTTACGAGATTTTAGTAAAAATTCATATCAATTTATTTGTGAAGTTCATATCAATTTTGTAGGAGATAAATAGTTGCATAAATCTTAACAAATTATTCCAATTCTTTATTGTAATTAATTTCAATTCAAGTTATTTGGTAAAAAAATTGGTGCAATGTTAGGAAATTTCGGTTGTATTTTTAGGAAAATTTGATGATTTTTTCACTTTTTTTTAACAAAAAATGTGTCAATTATTTATGAAACAAATATAAATACAAATTAGCTTAACAACCGTGTAAATTGAATACAAATTTAGGAAACAAATAGTTGTATAATTCTTAACAATTTCATCCAATCTTTTTGAATATTTTTTATCTCTTAAAAATGTGTGAAGATTGGATACAACCACGTGCAATTTTTTATTTTTTTTAAAGTTGAGATTTGGACGGAATATACATTTAAAATCGTATCCACATTTTTTGGTAACAAAATCGGTTTATTTTAAATATTTAATGTCAAACCTTATCCAATTATTTAGAAAAAATAATTCAAATCAATTTTTAAATCTTGTGCAACTTTTACAAGGAAAAATCCTGTGCAATTTTTTAAAATTTGAATCGTTTTTTTTTTTATTCTTATGTTTTTCATAACCATGTTTTACCGAAGTTTTAGTAAGTTTATCAATTTTTTAGGAAAGAAATAGTTGCATAAATCTTAACAAATTATTCTGATTTTTTATAGAATTAATTTCAATTAAATTTATTTGGTAAAAAAATTGATGCAATATTAGAAAAAATTAATTGCATTTTTAGGGAAATTTAATGATTCTTTTCAGTTTGTTTTAACCAAATATTAGGATCAATTTTTTTGGTAAAAACATTTGTGTATTGGTAGAAAATTCGGTTCATTTTCAGGAACTAATGTTTTTTTTTTAATTTTTCTTAATTAAGATTTTGAATTAAATTTAAAAATAAAATAACGTGAAAATCTCTAAAAATCTCTAAAAATCTCTACTTTTTCTCTACTAGAATTTTGGTTAATATATAAGATCCCTTAATTTTTTTTAAAAACATAATTTGTTAAATAATAACTAATAATAAACAATTCAAAGATTGGAACTCCCGTCATGTTGTTGCGAAATATGGATCATTCTATGGGTTTATGTAATGGACACGGTTGGTTGTGACAAAACTATCCGCTTAATATATAAGATCCCTTAATTTTTTTTATAAACATAATTTGTTAAATAATAACTAATAATAAACAATTTGAAGATTGGAACTCCCGTCATGTTGTTGCGAAATATGGATCATTCTATGGGTTTATGTAATGGACACGGTTGGTTGTGACAAAACTATCCGCTCATGTTCTGAGTGTAAGATACTCACTGGGGATCACGAAGGCGAAAAGGTGTTGATTCCTAGAATGACTATTACTCCTTCCGATGTCAGAATTCCTTTCAAATTTCAGAGGCGACAATTATCGATTATGGTTTCTTATGCCATGACTATCAACAAGAGCCAAGGACAGTCGTTATCGCATATTGGTTTATTTCTTAAAAAGTCGGTGTTCAGTCATGACCAATTATATGTTGTCGCCTCCCGCGTCACCAAGAAGTGGATTGAAAATATTAGTCTGTAATGACGATGACTTGCCACCAAATTAGACCCAAAACGTTGTGTACAAAGAAGTATTTACTAATTTATTAAGTTTAAATTGTTTTTTTTCCATTTTACATTTGTTACATATCTACAAAGTGCATTAAATTTAATGTTAATATTAAAAAAATTTCAAAAAAATATACCATTCCGTGCATCGCACGGGTCAGTACTAGTTCCTTTCTAATGTAGTGGCGTCCATTTAACTTCTTTGTTAGTAAATCTAATCTCTCATATTCTTCTTTTCCTCATGATCTCAACTCGGCTCGATTCATTTGATAAACAAATTGAATTTGAGTACGTTTAATTAATGAGTCGATATTAACTCAAGTCGATAAGGTTCAAAAAAATAATTTTTTGTAGTCGTTAAAGCTCAAGTTCGGCATAAACCGAACTTCATTATTGGTCGGCTATGTTTGTTTGCACCTATAGTTCTGAACTCTTGGTGTTCCCTTGTAATGTGGGTAGAACATACTAAACAAAAACCCGTAAATTACATCAGTTTAAGAGAAATTATTTGAAAGATTTCTGTCTTTCTCCTTTTGTTGGAAAGAAATATCAATCAGTCACGGGTGCTCTTTGTACGCGATATCAAATGATAAAAGGTTCATTATATTGCTATCAAAAGTCCAAAAAATTGACCACATAAAACTACTTATGATGTTATTTTATCCCATTAAATAGATAGATAGAGATGGAAGAGCAGTGACAGATAAAAGGATACTGACGAATGCTGATAAAGAAGGGACTTATAGTTACGAACACCCTAAAAGGGTCTAAACCAAAAAAAAAAAAAAAAAGNCAAAAAAAAAAAAAAAAAAGGTGGATTGATGAAGATTGGTTACTTTAACCATCTACTCTGCTACGAAGCTTTGACGGTATTCATCAGTGGTTGGATCAATTTCAAGATGCCTTGTTTTTCCCAAAAAGCAAGCTCAACGAGTACGTGTTCCCTTTCTGAGCAGCAGCTGCTACTCGATTTTCTCCAATCTGAAATGTTGAGATACAGAATAAGTGTTTAGCAATTCTCAAACAACTATATCTCAACCACAAAGTGAGAAGCACATACTATGCCTTTTCAGTTTGCAATGTAGTCAACAAAAAATGTCCAGCAACCCAAAAAATAAAAAATAAAAAATAAAAAATAAAATGTAGAAGGATTGTACACTTCACATGAGGGAAGCGAAGGATTTCATCAGGTGCAACTGTACATTCACGCATCAAATGAATAATGAGTAAAGTTACAAACATCACCTCGAAAATTAGCCTAATCCTTAAAAACAAAAAGACTTACACCAATGAATAGGACAAAGGTTTGTACACAAACAAGATCCCAGCTCTCGTAGTGTAACTTGTAAAACCGAAACGACTATCAATGTGAAATTTGCAATTTTGAGAGGTCGATGCATTGTTTTTTAAGAAATTTGCAATTTTGTGAGGTCGATGGATTGATTTTGAAGACAGACTGTTTCAATGATATTCTTCGGTATTAACACAGAATAATAATTCACTAGGACACAGTTTACAAGATTGACTTAAAGGCATGGTAGCTAAGCATCTCTCAAAAGCCAGAAGTTAAAGATACCTTATCCATGATCCAGTACCCAACTGTTGGAATATACTGTACCAGGTACATGACCGCAAGCACAGGCTGCAAGAAAACAAAGTAGGGAGCTGAGAAAACAAGCAGCATAACAGCAAAGAAATTCAAGTACATTGAAACATACGATTAACTACAAAAACTACTCCTTAGATTTAGTCTAATTACAAAAACATTCCACTCATCTTTAAAGATTCCATAATGCCCTGTCATTTTGTATGGCAAATGTAGATGTCAGGGGTTTATTCATAACTTTGAGAGATAATTCGGCTATTCAGTGATTAGGATAAATCTCAAAGTATTTTTTGGAATCATCCCACAGAGACTTGAATGAGCTGATACAGGCTAAGCTGTTTCTGTAAGTAGTCTCTACTATCCATGTTAAAGAACAGTCCTTTTAGAAGATAGAGCTAATGAGCAAACCTGATATGATATCCAGGCTTCCTTCAGACCATGACTTGCAGCAATTATGGTGAGCTCTGCACACCTCTCTGATGACACACGCTTCTGCAGATTAATGGATTTTTATATGTAAGTGGAAATTCAGAAGGTCACTAGCTGAAATGATTTTCAACACGCTATGCAAGAGAACTTCAATCAGGGAGAGGCCATATGACCTAAATAATCATTATATATGTACGTGGAAATTCAGAAGGTCACTACGACCTAAATAACCATTGTACACTAAATATACGTGACCGGCAATATCTAATAGCTAGGTTTGGGCTTGCTACATAAGTTGCATTGGGCAATAGTAGCAAAGATAGTCAACGATCTTTACAAACGGAAGAAGTAACATCATAGTTTTCATTTAATAGTTCTTAGCTTACAGAAAAAGCAAACGACATGGTTGAGACATTAATTTAGATCTTTCTCCCCTTTTTCTTTCACCAAGGAGCCAAACCCCTAGTATAACACCCAGAGATGATGGAGACGAGATCGCCTTGGCATTCTTGGAGAAATACGAGCGACGTCGACGTCACGCATGAGTTTTGCATGGATTGTGTGCATGACTCTTAGTATTATTATTATTATTATTACTTTTGACTAAGTGTGGAATTCTACAATTAAGTTAGAAAATCTAAGAATCATTCAAAAGTCTTGTATGGAAAAACTAAGAAGATAGTCTTGGTGGGGATCGAGAAGTCTTATGAAGACTGCAAAAACTATATATATGAATGTACTCTCTTAAGAATGAATCGGTTCATATTGAATAAAATTACAAATTATCGTGAGTTCTTATACTCTCGTGTCTATCGGACGATTCTGCCTGCATTAGAGGACTATATTCATCACAAAAGATGACATATTAAATTTATCAGATAAGGAAGGATATATCAACTATAAATTATGCAGTACTTCTGATGGAGACGAGATCGCGCTCGCATATCTGGAAAAATATTATCGGCTCCGGCTTTAGGATATTTATTTATTTCCATGATTAGTTATTACTTCCCTTAGTTTATATTATTTAGTTGGTAAAAGAATAATAATTATTATTATTATTATTTCGTTAGTTGATATTGTTAGTTTGGTAGGTAAATAAATATCTGGCCTAGCTTGTTAGGCAAGATAAGTAGCTGGTGAGGACCCTATATATTTATCTGCTGTCTATAATAGCCAATCAGTTGAGAATGAAGAATTAATCTGATATTTGTGAGTTTTATCGAGAGAGTATCTCGTTTATCATTCTCACTCGTACGCTTCCCTACATCTTAAAATTTTACCTCCGAAGTAACTTTCTGTTCGGATGTACTTGCTTCAGAGCTAGTTGAGGTCTTCACAGGTCCTGGACAGACAACGGTTACCTTGATTCCCCTTTTGCAAAGCTGAATATGAAAAAAAAAGAAGCTTACAACGGAAAAGAAAAGATTTCTTGAACAGCGAATATTATTAATTTTCCTGTCCATCGGGTTTTGAGAGCCGCTGCATCTAATGACGTCATTTGATTTGTCTTATCCAAAAGGGGTAAACTGTTTGCTGATAAAAAAAAAAACCTCTAAAGCCACACTCTGACAGCTGTGTGGTTATAACACTATTAAACCAGTTTGGCACTTTAAAAAAGAAATGTCAGTGATATAAGAGCAAGTAGTACCTCAGATCGAAGTGTATGAAAATAACCATTTACGGCAAACTTGGAGGCAGAGTACACCGCTTGACCAGGTGCAGGTGTCTTTCCGGCTGCACTACTCATCTAAATTACAGGGAGCAATGAAGCAGTTCAAAGGAGGGAAATAGTCATATTGTTTTACATACATATCAAGAAGAATCCACAAAACAACCCCACAATAACATACCACAACAAAATGCCCTCTGCCACGATTCAGCATGTGAGGGCACAGGTGCCGGGTCAGAGAAATTGGTCCCAGAACATTGACATCAAATGTCGCCTTAACAGAAAAGCGGACAATCAAATTATTTCCATCCTTAAAAATGAAGAGAAACTAAACATACAAAGATTCGGAGCTCAAAGTCGACTAACTTAACAAAAAGCACTTGAAGTCATTTGAGTCATAGTATCACTGCAGCTTCAGAAATAAAGGTGGACATGCAAAATGATCCGGAAAGGAAATTCACTAGATTTCTGGAATTATTTACCTAGATTATGGAAAGGCCTAAAACAATTTGTTGTCCAACCTGAACAAACAAGTAGAAATCAATGATTTATTACCAGCATATGATACCTTGAGGCTTTCTTCAGTCACATCTAATGCCATCGATTTCTGCAAGAAAAACAAACTCAAACTACCAGCCAAAAGGTATTTATGTATATATTATATTATAAAAGTTTAATTGATTTGATTTAAAAAGTTTGGTAAATGTGCAGATTTACAAAAAACTAAGAAAACAAACATCATTTATCCTTTAAATGCATTGACTTACAGGGCGTTCATAAGCTGCATTGTGGAACATGTAATCCACTCCGGAAGCCCCAAAAAATGATTCTGCTCTCTGCACTGCCTCTTTCAGGTGTTCTTCTCCCCGAGACAAATCCAGAGGCAAAACCATCACCTCATCTGGAGCATGTTTTCCTTGCTTATCATCAAATTATTAATTTAAGGAAACATAGAACCATATATAATCAATCAGACAACAAGAATTTAGATCATAGAATCACAAACCAGTTAGCTCCTTCTTGACACGCGTAAGTTCCTCTTCATTTCTAGCAGAGATAATGAGCTTGGCTCCCAAACTTGCAAGTTGTTTAGCAAGTATTTCTCCTAATATGAGATACATATATCAAACAAAACCCGGTCAGTGCCCCAAAATGCACTACAGTGGAGCAATGCTTTTGGTAGATGCAATAATATGAACTATTTACCTTAACACCAAGCCACTGGAAATCTTTTAACAACATTTTCAAAATAAGAGAAGTGACTTAAACAGGAAACCCAAAAGCACGAACAAATTGAAACCTAGAGGCTAGAGCTGAAAGACAGGAATAAAAATATGTGTTCAAATCCACATACACTATTGTCGAATTTCTATCTATGAAGAATGACTTAACCTGTGCACAATGCATACTCAATGAAAAATAATCAGATGAGATTGAACCAAATAAAAAAATACACCCCAAATTGGATTGTCAACAATCATCATATGCTATGGTTTTGAATGTAAGAAAATCGAGCTGCAGCTTACACAGAAATTTCTGATTCTCAAATTGTTACGGTGCAAGATAGTAACAAAACTAATGCAACATTATAAGGGGGGAGAAAGAGAGAGAACAGTAAGCACATACCAATACCACGGCTGGCTCCAGTAATCCAAATAACCTATAAAATTCATGCAAAAAGTAACAGAAGTCAAACCAACAAATTACGTCAAGAAAATCAATCATCACATACATAACAATTATCCAGACCACTGAGAACGAATGCTCTCGGGACCTTATCCTCTATTTCTTCGCGCTTCACGTGTTTCTTGGACAACAACGTCAGATCACCTGGCGCCATAAACCAATTCCATCATCAGTACAAATGTAACCGAGGATCTAGGAAATACTGAAGAAGAAGCTCCACTTGCCACTATAACATCCAAAAAAAATATAAGTTGATTAAAAATGTACCGTCGGCTTTGAGAAATTTGAAGAAGAAAGCGATGAACAAAACTAGAAATAATGAAGGAAATAAGAAGATCATCATCAGTCTACGATCTTTGGTTTCTGAGCTTGGAGCAATGGAGTTATCTTCGACAGGAGATAAAAGCATATACCGTCAGGTCGTTGTGAAATTAATAGCGATTTCGTTGTTTTTATTTATTTCTCTCTCTCTTTTTTGTTTAATTTAAATAAAAAAAATTGAAGTGTCGTGTTTGTCTATCTCAGAAAAAATAAATAGAAAATTTGATGATATTTCAAGATAATCATGTGCCAAAACTTTAACTAAACCAATCCTATACATTTAGATATTGTTGAAGGATTTGATTGTAATTGAGATTGTAATTGAGAAAGGGCTAACAAATACTTTGGTTGTTAAATTGTTATTCAGAAAAATCTAATAATTAGAGAAAATTGTAAATTTGGTCCCAAAACTTTTGTTATTTCCCACATTTGGTCCCAGACACGCCATTTATGGTCCTTTTTGATTTTTCGTTGCCAAAACAATACCACTCCGTCAAGACTTAACAGTCTTCTTCACTAAGACGTTAGTCATTATTTTTAGTTTGGACAAAATTACAAATTTGGTCCCAAAACTTTTGTTGTTTCCCACATTTGGTTCCAAGTAGTTCGAGAAGAAAATCAAACATGTCCAAAATTAATAATCATGCGAAATGAAACTCTCGTCTTCCGCCGGTTATCCACAAAATCTATATATATATAATTGCTGGTTAATCCTATTTAATAAAACATTTAATAAAAAAGATTTCAGTTTCCCGCCATTTGACGTTACAGAGCATGTATTTATAGACCTTTTTTTTTAATAAATACACACCTTATTATTTGCTTGGATTATGCAGATTATTTAATATGATTAGGCAGTTACAATCCAGATTTAGATAGTAAAATAATAATTAGTTATTTTCTTATTCTTTTTTATTTTGCTCCATGAATGAATACAACACATACAAATAATTAATACAACACATACAAATAATTATATTTAATAATAAATTAATTCATTCACAACCTTATTGCAATTAACCATCCAAACAAAAACACTCTTCCTCCTACGTTTAAGAAAAATTAGCAATGACATCAATCTTTAACAATTTGACCTCCTTGTCAAAAAACAAGAATAAGACAGTCAGGTTTCGTTTGGTCAGAACCTACCCGCGCTTTTATCAGTCGAACAAAGCAAAAATAAGCGGACATGAATTTGTTTTTCATGATGTGAAGGTATACAATTTTTATACTTCTCTAATATTCAATTAATTTGGTTTTTTCTACTGCTATTTCTGGAGGGCGTTGTCTTTTGCTTTGAGATCCAAAGTTGAAATTGTGTTGAAAGTTGCATCGAGCGGTATTGCATCACTTTTGCTTCTCGGCGGACGCACTGCTCATTCACGATTCAAAATCCCCCTAAACCCAATGGAAGGTTCTACATGCGATATTATCCAGCAGAGTCCTTTGGCCAAACTGATTATACGATGTCGGTTGATCATTTGGGATGAAGCCCCGATGATGAACAAATATTGCTTCCAGGCGGTTGACAACACCTTGCGAGCCTTAATGGAAGCAGTTGATCCATCGAGGAAAAATCTCCCATTTGGCGGCAAGTGTGTTGTGTTAGGTGGGGATTTCAGGCAGATACTCCCCGTTGTCCCTAAAGGCAGTCGAAGCGACATAGTTAATGCGACCATCAATTCATCCAAGTTGTGGCGTGATTGTATCGTTCTGAGACTTACTCGCAATATGAGGCTTCGAAGCCTTGGTGGGGGCGATGAGTACGATGAGTTGAGGAACTTCTCCGAGTGGCTTGCAAACATCGGCGATGGTACAGTCGGTAGATTGAACGACGGTTGTGCCGATATTGACATCCCCAACGATTTTCTTTTACACTCACAAGGGGATCCTATTGGTACTATTGTTGAGAGTACCTACTGTTAGTGTTATATACTGAAAGCTTGGCTTTGCATGTTATTACACATTTACCCTTTATGAATGAGAATCATGTTAGATTAAACAAGTTCTACGTTCTGTTGTTTTGCACTTAGATAGGGTGGGTCGTCATCGGGCGAACCGAAGATCACTCTATCAGTCACTTGCGAACAAGAATAGTTGTTCACAACCTAGATGGACATGAACACCCCATCCGAACGGTTGTAGTGTCAACTGTACAGTTTGTCTTGACTGATTAGTTGCACTAGTACATTTATGTATTGAACAGGATCCCAGAGAGGAGAAGTTCATTTTATACTGATCGTCGTAAATGAACTAGGCCTCGGTTAATTACTGCGTTCTCTTAACCCGTAAGATATTAAACAGGCAGATATATATAATATATATTACTTTGATTCACATGGGTGAGGTTCAGTTCGCTGGATTAATATTCCTACTGTTTTGGGTAATATTATTATATATAGGATGTGCTGTTAGGATATTTACGGTCACCATGTGCGTTAGTTTGATGATGTCCCCGGAGTGAGTTCATGAAGGATTGTTATGCTAAACCCTGCAGGTGGATTAAATTCCGGCATAATAAGAATGTGATGAACGAGCGCTAGCTTCGGTGAAATAATAATAAATTAATTAATTCTTGATTGTCAGTAATCGAATTAATTAATGGACATTATATCTTAAACGTGGGGAGGTAAATCGAGTAATTATTATTGGAGTCTCAAATGTAATTTGGGCTAGGGAAAGGGAGTGCAATAATATAATGTTGGTGGCCCATTAATATTATTTAATTAATTAGAGGAGTGGGTTTGGCCCACAGTTAGTCTAATTAATTAAGGAGCCCTTTTCCTAATCTCCTTAGGGTCCCTACTGTAGCTCTATATATACATCATTAAGCTCATGAGAAGAGAATAGAATTCATTCTCACGTGAAACACGCCTCTCTCTCTAGATCTCATTCGAGCTTTATCTTCTTCTTGTTGCTCCACTGGTACAAGTTGAAGAAGGGTGTATTGAGTAATACAGTAGAAGATCTGTAGGTAAACCGAGACGAAATTGATTTTGACCTACAGAACTAACCGGAAGTCCGATTGAGACGTACAGTATACCCAGACGACCGTCTCGACGAGAGCTTTCCATCGCCGCCGACGTCGCCGGAATCCGACGCCGCACGCGCCCTCACGCGCCGCCGGAAGGTGTCTGGCAGCAAAATTTCGTTTTGATCTGTTTGCATCCGTTTGATCCAGTTTTGATCTGATCTTGTTCGTGCAACCCAAGACGCGTGTTGCGGTCAATCAATTGCGGTCAACCGTTCGTGGTCAACCAGATCTACATAAATTTTAAGCCGTAAGTTCTCTACGTCAAACCTTTAGATCCGCTGCGCATAGGTTTACGTTTGCTATTGAATTCGTGATTTGTACATAACGAGATCCTCACAGATCCCAACAAGTGGTATCAGAGCACTTGGTTAATTCGTTTTGTACAAAGTTCGAATTTTTACGGCTTTATTTGACAAGATGTGTTCAAACGCAGCCATATATTGGATTATATTTGCATAACTCGGTTTTGCAGGAAAATAGTTAATCCACTATTATGGCCGATTATGTGTTTGATGAATGTTGTTGAATGTGATGTATGGTTTTAAATTTGTTTTTAAAGCCTCGGGCATGTCGAGGAATTTATGGATGAATGTTTGTAATAATTATTCGCCCGGGGGTTGACCGGATAGATTTAATTATTTGTTTAGAAAACATGTACATCCATTCGTTGGATCTAGGATCGAATTATGTAATTTTGTAAATTATATTTTTCGTGTTGTGATCGTGTGTTGATAACCGGGAGATCACAAGAGATCAACGAGCCTCGAAGAATAAAAAAAAAAAAAGGGAAACGGCGCGTTTTTCCGACCACTGGCGGCGGCGGCCGGCGGCCGGGCGGCAGCCAGGCGGCAGTCGGCGGTTGGCTGCAGGAGGTGGAGAGGTTTTGCCTTCTTGTCCAAGCAGTACAAGATCAACCAGGATTCTACTGCTTAAAGGAGTTCCAGTTGAACAGGGAAAAGAACTGTCACAGTTTCCTTGTTTAAGGAGACTCAATATTTAATGGCCATAATAGTGGATTTATTTATTTATTTAATTAAATTTATTATGCCATTAAATTATTATTTATGCATGTTAATTAATTATGTTCTTGCATGGGATTAATTTAGTATTGCTAGATTAATTATGCATGTTAATTAATTATGTAATGCATAGAATTAATTTAGAATTGTGTCAATAAATTATGCATGTAATTAATTATTGCACTGGCATGGATTAATTTAGAATTGCATAAATTATTGAACATGTTAATTAATTATTGCATTGACATAGATTAATTTAGAATTGCATGAATTAATATGCATGTTAATTAATTATTGCATTAACATAGATTAATTTGGAATTGTATAAATAGTTAAAAATCCTCATTAAATTATACTAAGTTTGAGAAGGGATTTTAAATTAAAGTTAATTGTAAAATTCCTAAGGCCTCCATTTCTAATTTGTCGGTAAATCAATTAATTGCGGTTATGGGCTCCCCCTCGGGTGACATTGCTAAAATTAATTGTAGGAAATTACCAGGACAAATTTCTAAAAGTAGACGGTTAGAGGAAATCTTATGAGAGCGTACGGGCTTCCCCTCGGATGACGTATAATCAAATTTGACGACCTTAGGACCGAGAAATGGGATTCACTTAGAATGCGATTAAATTTATTAACCCCCCTCGGGGTCCCTGAATTCTATTGCATGGCCAAATGGAGACCGACTATTAATTTCGTTCGTCATGAATTTGGTTTTGACTTATGGAAATTAATGGGCCTTAGAAAAGCCCTTCTCTTACAAAATGCGAGTTTGTAGGGCGACCCTCGTAGCATGCATTCTCACAAGGTGTAATAGATGTCGGTGGATTTAAGTTAATGTTGTTTTGAGGATATCAATATTAACAGTTAAATTCAAAAGTGTTTAATCTGTAAAATTTATTTGCATGATTCTCAGGATATTCATCATGTCGTTCAATCCGTTGTCTGTCATTCTAAAAGAAAATCAGCTTACTGGTCCTAATTACATTGATTGGAAGAGGAACTTAGACATAGTGTTGACTGCTGAGGGTTATAAGTTTGCTATCACTGATGCTTGC